GTATTGACATGTGCGTAGGAGTTTGCTCTGACGATTGATCTGAAGAACGAAGCCAGTCGTAGCTGTCTGCAGGAGAAGCACCGACCACAACGCCACCAGATTGCCAGCTGCTGGTATGACTTTATATCTTGTCCAATCAATCCCACAATCTAGAACCCTAAAACCTTAAAACCCAAAAACCCAATAAGTCGTACGCTACGCTTATCGCAGAGAAACCATTCCTGCCACCACACAATTCTGAGTTCGTTGCGGATATGTGTGTGATGTGTGTGTACACGTGTGATGTGCGTAAACGTTTTCACTGGTTGCTGCAGTCTGTATTTTCTTGTCTGTGGCGCGAGGCCAACGGACAGTGCATTTGTGCGAGGGGTGAGCTTCCTTAGTTGAAAGACGCACTGCGACCATCTGAGCCTCTGATTTGTAACACCTAAACCCAATACGTTTACACACACAGGGACTTCATTGCCAATCTGGAAACAAAGCTGCCGTTCATCTTCCTCTATAGTTGGCCAGACGACAGTTATGCGCTGATGACGGTTGGATGTGACGCATGACACCCAGTCAATTTATAGATGACTCATGGATGCGACATGTGACATTCAATCTATTTATAGATGACTCATGGATGCGACATGTGACATTCAATCTATTTATAGATGACTCATGGATGCGACATGTGACACACAGTCTATTTATAGATGACTAATGGATGCGACATGTGACACCTAGTCTATTTATAGATAACTCATGGATTCGACATGTGACACCCAGTCTATTTATAGATGACTCATGGATGCGACATGTGACACCCAGTCTATTTATAGATGACTCAATGATGCGACATGTGACACTCAGTCTATTTATAGATGACTGTTGAATGTGACACATGACACCCAGTCTATTTATAGATGACTCATGGATACAATATGTGACGCAGAGTCTAATCAATAGCTCGCTCTTTGGGTGTACCACGTGACACCTGGACTATTTATAGACGTCCCTTGATGGAGACATGTTACACCTGGGTTATTTATAGACGTCCCTTGACGGAGACACGTGACATCTGGGCTATTTATAGACGCCCCTTGACGGAGACACGTAACACCTGGGCTATTTATAGACGTCCCTTGACGGAGACACGTGACACCTGGGCTATTTATAGACGTCCCTTGATGGACACACGTGACATCAGTCTATAGATGACTTTCGGATGTACACTACCATCACATCGCCAGTGCGATCTACAATCCCCTGCGCTGCTTAGATCCCCTTTTAAATTCGTGCCCATATTTCACGACTGGCTCTGCCATCCCTCGGCGACTGCCCTGACACGCCGCCAGCTCAGTAGGACGCATCTATACACTACTTTCTCTGTGTGACATATCTACATACCGATACAAGGCCCATCATTTGGCACTGCCAATAGCCGAAAAGAATCTCTCCTGTCTGTGCGTGTCTGCGTTTGTTGTGGGATGCATGGTGCAATGAAACGGAATGAAACGGAATGAACTGGATGTGATGTGTCCTGCAAGCACACACACCATAAACCACTCACCCGCCATACGCAGGCTCAGCTGTGCACACAGAGCTACTCATCGGACGAGGGAGAGAAGGTACAACACCGCAAGCGCACCAATGACGAAGGCTGTACCATGCTAAGACAGTCTTGTATACCCAATACTCTACCGTGCAAGGGCTGTATCGTATGGCAGGTATCCCAGTGCACGCCAGGTAGGTATGGCAGTATGCCGGTGGAACGGGGCCAAGCTTATACCCGTGTTTGCCGACACACAAGTGCGAGTTAGCAAAAAAGTGTGTGGTTGTAGGCCTACACCCTAAAACCCAAAACCCAAAGCAAACAAGTATTCAGTGCAACAAGTGTGTGGTTGTAGGCGTGGGGCCTGGCACTCTGCGGTGCGGACCTCGTGCGTATCCGTTCGAGTTACTGGTCGGCTCAACCGTCTCCATTTGCCTGACACACACACACATACACAGAGAGAGAGCGAGAGAAATTGCCGTCGCGATAGTCTGTTAGGGCCACTGTGGTGTAGAAGGGACACGGTGTGGATATCACGTAGTACTACTGTGCCCCGCCACCCCCCCCCCCCCCAACCACACACAACACACTCACTCACTCACAAAACACAACACACAACTTACACAACACACTCACGCACACAGACAAGGAAACATTAGACCCTAAAACCTCCCAGAAACCAGTGAAGAATCTACGGCGCAGCCCTGATAGCGATCTAGGCGCATTTGTTAGTCCCGTCTCCTTGCTATTAAAGGCCCCCAACTGACCTGGCATTCAGATGGTCAGACTCCGATGGTCAGACTCCGATAAATTATTCCTACCTACCACTGCAACCGCATCAGGTGTATTCGTAGACGCCCTGAAGCTCTTGCATAGGCCGACAGATACATTGTGCGTATGCCGATAGATACATTGTGCATATGCCGAGAGATACGTTGTGCATATGCCGATAGATACATTGTGCATATGCCGATAGATACGTTGTGCATATGCCGATAGATACGTTGTGCATATGCCGATAGATACGTTGTGCATATGCCGATGGATACGTTGTGCATTTGCCGTAGATACATTGTGCAAATGCCGATAGATACGTTGTGCATATGCCAAGAGATACGTTGTGCATATGCCGATAGATACATTGTGCATATGCCGATAGATACATAGTGCATATGCCGATAAATACGTTGTGCATATGCCGATAGATACATAGTGCATATACCGATAGATACGTTGTGCATATGCCGATAGATACGTTGTGCATATGCCGATGGATACGTTGTGCATATGTCGATAGACGTTGTGCACATGCCGATAGATACGTCGTGCATATGCCAATGGATACGTTGTGCATATGCCTATAGATACGTTGTGCGTGTGGCCGACGTTCTTATGAGATCGCGTACAACCCACCGGTACCTACAACGCTTCCACAAGTGCTCAGAATAAGAAATACCCTGCCTTGAGATGCTGCTTGTCCCTGTATCACCGGTCCTACTGAATTGCTCAGACACAGCACACGACCTGACGTGAAGAACCCAGTAGATACCAGACCGTGTGGTACGGATTAGTACGCACGAGCACATGTGCGCAACTCCCTCGTATGGCCATGCATGTCCATCAGAGCTTAGTTGCCATGGCAACCGCGGGCGGTAGGGATGCTCTGTCCCGCCAAGCAAAAGAAGCCGCAGGCTATGATACACTCGATAGACTGACACCGATACAGGCTATTACAGACCATGCCCCCCGAGGAGATACCACCCCAGACACTCACTGCGACTGTATAGGAGAGGGTACAGACACACGAGCGATTGCTTTAGTAACAGCTGCGTGTCCCCATCCCAGCCCTGTGGGACAAGGCGTGTACATCGCATATAGGATGACCCTGTACAACGCATGTAGGATGACCCTGTACACCACATGTAGGATGACCTTGTACAATGCATGTAGGATGACCCTGTACACCGCATGTAGGATGACCTTGTACAATGCATGTAGGATGACCCTGTACAACGCATATAGGATGACCCTGTACAACGCATGTAGGATGACCCTGTACAACGCATGTAGGATGACCTTATACAACGCATGTACGTTGGCCTTGTACATCGCATGTAGGATGACCTTGTTGCTGGCGTGAGCCCTACTGTCTTGAAAGTTGACTTAACAGACCGTTCAACAAAGCGCCACTAAGCAAACCACACTCCGCGTAGGCCAATGTCTTCTAGCACCTGATCTATTTAGACAGACAACCACCAGTGAAGTCACTTGTAGGTACGAATAGCACTTCAGCGGTTTTAGAGTTTAGGGTTTTAGATAGCACTTCTGCAGTGGTTGAAGACCCTCTCATTTTGTTGTGAGCCAGTGTACTAGGTATGTCAGACAGACCACCGATACAGCGGACGATGATGGAAACACGGACTTACATTTAATCACGTGTAGATACTTGTGTACCAAAGGATCGCCAGTCCATCATAATTGATTTGCCCGACCTGACCAAGCTTCTCCAAGAGCTGGAAAAGGCTGAAAGGGTCTGAAACACAGATACACGAACACAAATCAGATATTCATGGTGGTGTGCTTGTGATTCTATGAATTGTTCAATGCATTGAACCAAGTGTGTAAGTCATTCAACCAAGTGTGTACGTGGATGCAGGAAAGCTTTGAGAAGTAGTCTTAAGTATATTCTACAATATTATTAGGGGTGTGTAGGGAAGGGTGTACAAGGGTAGTACTTGCATATGCAGCTCACTTTATTAGGGGTTACTTGTGTATAAAGATAGTGCTTGCTTGTTCAGCTGAACCAAGGGTACGCGTTTTTCAATACGGGCTTGTAAGTCCTTGGCTTAGCATCCCACTTTCTCCGATTATCGTCCCCTGATAGAGCCAGCTAATTATATTTCAATTCCAACACTGTGTAGCAACTCAGGTGACTGTCGTGCTACACATGCACTGTTCGTCACCGCTTCAAAGCCTGAGCATTTGCAATCTTCGAGGCGCAGACATAGGAAGCTCAGTCTGAAAGGTTTAGGCAAATCACACGCAACGAGCTTATCGTAAATCCTTATCTTTATTTTTGTATGTGACAACTGCACCTTCATATACTTATTAAACTAAATAATCCACGCCCACACATTGCCCAGCAGACGCGTATGTGCATTTGCGCGTACAATTTGGCACAGGCCATCTAACCATGTGAACGCATATATGCTGCTACTATCAATGCCCTTGGACACTTGTGCAGTGACCTTTACGTGGTCATCTCCGGTGAACGGCCCATCTTGACGAGCAAGTCATAGTGCTTTCCCAAAGCTTCCGCCAAACCTCCAGATGTGTTATATGGGACGTTGAACTCCTTGCATGTACGCCTGCAATCGGAATGGAAGAGAGTGAATAAATTGTTCTAGTCAGGTTTTAGGGGTTTAGGTTAGTTTGCGATGACAAAGAGTCGGTACCTACACGGTCCAAATGAGAGCGAAACAAATAGTTCAACCAATGCTAGTCAGCTGAGACACCAATAACTCAAACCAATGATCGTCAGTTTCAATACCAACAGCCACGCGCCTATCTAACAAAGGAGCATTCATACTGAACTCGTTCATCGAAAGGGCGTTCTGCGGAGTGACTGAGCTAAACCTAAAACAAAATGAACAATACATATATATGTATACCTTGTCAATTCGCCGAGCGCTTGGTAGTGGCTGTGATGAACGGACGGGAACAGGTGATGCTCAATCTGTGGCAAACACAGGGAAGGTGGTTAAGCTGGGCTTGAAGGGCTGTTGTGAGCAATACATTGACAACAAATGGTATTGGTGTAGAATACATCGTACCGTGTGGTCGTCACGATATATATATATAAATGATCTCGTGTCAAACCGATCACACAAGGTAGGTAAATCAGTATCTGCGCCAAACTAACCACCAAAGTCAAGCGCTGAAGCACTATATAGCACAGCATTTGACAATTTAAATTCGAAGACGTTTGACATAACAGCTTTATCAACTAACATCAGGACATACACGTTATAGGTTGGTGCAAATACGTACCTGCATATTCAGGCCACCTGAGGAGTTCAGCCACAGTGGGCTGCCCACGCCATAGTTGTGAGATGTACGCACTTGATGTGCGCCCCAATCTGTTGACATAACGGTACAAGGATGAGATGTGGAGCAATCAGTAGGTATGTCACACATAGGGTTTTATACTGGGACAAGTGTTGGTGGAGGTATGTGCGTCCCAGTCCAGCTTCACAGAACGGCTTATCTCGCAACTAGTTTACTATGAGTAATCCGTCACATGTCATAGACAGGCCACACAATTTGAGTGCTTGCGAATACCAACATAGACTCAGCTCACAGTTTTAGTTCCAGCAGGTTTTTTATCAGGTACGTAGAAAAGACACTGTATAGTCTTATAACATTCAGAGTTAGAGTTTTTATAAGCATGAGACACGATGTAAAGACTATAGATAGTCTTATAGAATCAGACATGCAACAAAGGCCATATGTAGTCTTGTGTCATCAGATAGACAGCAAAGGTCATATAGTCTTGTAATATCAGACAACGTAACACAGCTCCTTTTGCCCATACCTGTGCCTGATAGCTCTGAGGTCGGCTGCTGCGCATTTAAGTCCACAGACACCTGCTCAACGCTGGTCTCCACCTAATTATGAGTTATGCCACGGATACATTAGGAATGTGCATATACAAGGGGGTTGCTTGTGGTACATGTATGCGTGCCAAGTTCCATTTACTGCACACAAAATATCAAATGTACAGTTATACATGTGTGGGCTTACATGCGCGGAGAGCTTCACAACACACCACTCACGAAAGGTATTCATACACCTTTAGGATTTGGAGTTTTAGTTCCATAGAACGATTAGACCCAACCCATACACCAGACACGTATAATCCTTTCCAGACCAAGGCTCGGCCTGCACACGATAGAGGATACAACTTACCTCGTGATTGACCACGAACTGTAGCACAAACGGTAGACTGGCGAAGACTTCATTGAGCAACACAATACCCATTGCGTGAGAGAAGGGCAGGGACACGAACGGCAGCACCCATCTGTGCGCTATGTGGAATATATACACCTGCAATGGGGGTAGGTGCAATGATTTGGGTGAGACCGAGTCTTCAAGTGAGAGTTGCTATATTGCGAGCGTGTGTGTATATATCTTTTGAGTATGTACAGATGCAGTGTGTGTGTCTCCTAAATCAGAAGGTCCCGCACGTGTACACGTGGCTTTCTGATATCGGAAGAGTCGCAGCACAGTTTCTCGATCCAGCATTCAATGTATGAATCGAGATCATGGCTAACACCAATGGCGGCGCGTCTCTACAGCAAAGAATCCCAGCTACACGTCTTACAACCCAAGCCATACCAAAAGTTACTAAGCCACTACACCAGAGCGTTTCCGTCTATGAGTACCATGCACCTAGCCATGCACATACATTATCTTCTAATCATGCACATAGTCACAGTCTCGTCTAGCCATGGCCATACAAAGCATCGTCCAACCGCTTACCCCGTACGTCTCCTCCCAGTCAATAGTGCTCCAGTGTGACACCTGTGTGGTGCCCTCGTAGTAGTGACCGATTGCCAGCTTGACCACATCCGACAATGTCCAGAACATGATAGCTGCACAGTCGTGAACGTATTTGATTAGTACGCCATCAACGTGCGTGCATGTGTGGATAGCATTCAAACGCATTGGGACAATGAGCGGTATCTACAAGGTACAGCTTATAAACGCCCGTTTCTTGGTCAGGCGCGTGCATTAGGGGAGTAGATTCAGGGAGGGTGATGCCAAAACCATACCAAAATACAAGGGCTCTATGTAGTATCGATGGCCAAATAGCCCCATAAAATTAGTCGGAGACTTGTTCCTAGTAAAATGGGTAGAGTACACTCGCTCAGTAACACCACACTGGACATGCGTTTTCGGGAATGGTTTTAGACACCCCGTTACAATACATAATATTAAATTTTCAATCTGAAACTTGTTCTCTACTAGAATGAACAACTGGCCGTACACACGAATGCTTTAACAGCGGTCCGGTGCAGAAGTTCGGAACTGCCGAGACACTCGGGGCTTTGGGACTAAACATGTGACTGATTGTACACTTACTGTTACTCTAGTTGACTCAGACATTGAAGCAGCTGCAGGAATTTTGAACCCGCCGAATGCGCCATACACCGATCACATGCACACATGTATGCTCGGCTGTTAATGGCTTACCTCGTGCTCAGGCATACGAATGAACCTATTCACAATCAAAGCACCTTCGCAACAAACAAGGCGGACGTATAGCACCCCCTGGCACCTCCACCCAAACCCTAAAACCACTTGATTTGAACATAGACGGACATACATAGGACTTACTCAGACAGTAGAATACCCAGATGTATAGGTGCTGGAACGCGTGCCACGACCGGCGGGGTAGTTCAGGTAGCACACGCTTCATGGGGTACATGGTATCATCATCCACGGGTGTGATGTTGGTGGAGACATGATGAGCCACCACGTGCTTAGCAGTCCACTGTGAGGGACTGCTGCCGGCAAATGCCATAGATATGCGATACATCCTGAACGGGAGACGGTGGGAAGCGGCTTGCTGGTGAGTAAGTGAACGTAAGGTTGGGGGGTTGCACATGTCCTCATGTCGTCGAAGTGTTTTCCTCTCCGGCAAAGAGAGGTGGGAGGTGTCAAATACCGGTTCACTCCCACGTGGTGGCCCATGGCGGACGAGTGTCTTTCCGTTTGTCTGCGCAACTGTTTCGTTGACTTGCATAACAGACACAATCAGATATGCACGGGCCAACACCTCGCCGAAAACTTGCAGATCACAGTTGTGGCCCACGTGTGAAGACACTATACAGAGTACCCCAGACACCACCCCGAAGCGCCAGGATCTCACATGGTGATTGTAGATACGATATAATCCGCAACCGCAAGAAGTAACATCGATCCACGAGACGTAAGCACTACACAGACAATAGCTTTGAACATATGTACATACAAGAAAGGACAACGTGTATTCGACGAGACTTGAGCCTTCTACTGAACATATCGTATATAACACGGTCCTTACCATTGATTCATCGTGGGGTTGTACGACCAGGCATAGTGTGATGACGCATGACAATCGCGCACAATTATCATCGCTCTCAGGAAGCCGTGTAGTGCTGCGGCCCAGAACACTCCCTGGTAAAACCCGTAATAAGCCAGCACAAACAGAAGCGTGATAGTCGCCACGCCTACGGTTTTATGGAATATACCAGCCTAGTTTATGATATTAAAGGAAATTAAAGGTTAAAATGTGAGAAATCGTAGAGGTATCCTGATGACACAGAGAGTAGAAGACTTAGGATTTGCACACCTACCCACTATCGCATGTGGTACAACATCCTACCAAGGATTTGCCAAGACTAAAAGCTCGCTCCAAAACAGCTTGCATTTTCCCGGGATAATTTCAAAGTTGTGATCCAGAGTATCTGCCTCTAATCAGAGACATGGCGTGAACGCGCTGGTGGCTTGCCCAAGTGAAAGTGGTAAGCTCGAATATCAAATTTACATAGATAAGCAAAACACACTCCACAATACGACAGCCAACCATATGTCGTAGAGTTATGCGAAGCCTTAGCATTACCATACAAACTTTCATATCGTGCAAAGATGTCTCGCAAGTACAAACCCAGTACTGCTTCTACATCCTGTTATCAATATAATACAATACCCAAGAGTGCACTGGTACTAGCAAATGACTGAAAAAAGGTCACAAATGTCACCAACGTCAATATGTAAAATCCGAAGCATACCTTGGTTCCCGACTTTGTTTTCCGGAAATGCTCTGCAGCTCTTCGTTTGAGTGTGCGGTAAAAGCCATCGTCTTTGAAAGTGAATTGTACCATCTCAGGAGCCAGTTGTAGCACCTGAGTTTGAGATATAATGTGGTGGGGAATCTGGCTGAGAACTCTACTTAAAAGTTAAAAACAGAAGAAATTCTTGCTCCACCTGTGACTCCACTTGAATGTACCCCACTTTAACAGGAACAGAATCGAAGATAAAAACTCGAGATAGAAATGTTTGACATCGTGCAAAAAAATGCTTCTTGACGAGCACGATGGGGCCAATGAATCAAGTCAATCAAACACGTTCATAAAGCTTACATTGCTACCATCTCCCAGAGAGCCTTCTTTATCGAGGGCGTACTTGGCCAGTAGTTTGTCGGATGGCAAAAATGTGTGATACGACTCGAAGAGTTCAGTACAGTCACGCCCTGCACACGTGCAGAAAGCAATCAATGAGAACTTGAAATGTCAATTGTTGCTTATTTGAACACCTGCACCTTTGTAAATCTGCATGATATATTATATTCAATACCATCGTCAACAGGTGTTATAAACTGACCTCTCCACAGAAACGTTGCGTTAGCTGCAACATATCAAACTGAGCCTATCAAAATACTTTTCGATCCCTCAACAAATATCTGACTACTAAAATGAGCAGCAAATTAGTACCTTGTCCGATCAAGATGGCTTTTTCGCCTCCGGGATGTCTTTTAACGAAGTCTGTGAAATCGTAGGCTTTACCATGTAGATACCACACATTCGGATTCAATGTGCTTGGCTGCGATGGGTCAGCTATGCAGGGACCTTTCTTTTGTACTGTACTGTCGCAGTTATCAGTCTCGTCCATCAGGGTAGGATCGTGAGACAAGCGCTCTCGGGGTACCATTTTGCCGGCACACAAATAATACTTTATTTTAGCGCTAAGTGTATGTTTAGTGTTTGTAAGGTACACTATCGTATTCGATATTCAAACTGAAGGTTTTTCACTAATCAAGTTGGATGATTATAACTCTTTACAATAAGTTCATTTTGTTAATATACATACCGCGGCAATTTGTATGTCACGCATGCTTTCGTCTGTCATCAATAAGTCACAAGTCACAAGTCACAAGTCACAAGTCACAAGTCACAAGTCACAAGTCACAAGTCACAAGTCACAAGTCACAAGTCACAAGTCCTACAAGAGTTGTTTTTGGTGTATTTTAATAATATTAAATGTCGGGGAATAAAACCTGTTGTGCGCGGCGGCCTCGGCGGCTCGGTCTCGAAACTTTCGAAGGCTCGATGTCGTAGGTCCGTAGGACCGTTGTCGGGTTGTCGGCCTGTATATAGTATTTATTTACTTCACCTCTTTCTTTGTGAAATTCTGTGCCTCTCCCCTCATATGTATGGCCTGATGAAGATGATGTTGCGATAGAATTCGATTGCACAACCAATCATATTGATCATAAATGGAATTTGTATGCTGACAACATCATCAAGTTTTGGCGGGCTCCGTACTTTTCTCAGCTGGTTTTAAGCTCAACTAGGTTTTTCCCACTCTGCTACTTTGTCAGTAAATCAGTTTCGTTTTTCCGCAGTGTGAGCTTGTTGGCCTTGTTGTGACTTGTGAGTGGGACTGATTATGATGATGCGCTGTGAGCAGTGAGAGTAGAGTATTTTAACGTGAGCCGAGTGACTGAGTGTCTGAGACTGATGGATATGAGAGGTCGTGAGGAGTGGACGGAGTGGAATATTTCTCCAGCAGGAGTCGAAGGACTCAGGGATCAGGAGTCTTGGAGACTCGGACTCTCGCACTTCGTAGAGTCTGGTCTCTGAGACTCTGACTCTCTAAATAGTATTTAATAATAACCTGCACCCTGGTCACTTGTGGGGGTGGGAATTTAAATTTTTTGAGTGCCAAGTGCCAACGTCCTACTGCCTACTCTAGAGCTGGCCTCAAGTCCTCAACTAGCTACAGTAGATATCGAGATCCCGTTGCTCCTCAGACCTCAATTGTCTATGTAAATATGTAGCAGAGTCTCGACCTCTGATTATTTGATTTTGTTTTTAAAAAAGAACTGTCTTACTGGCTGTGGTCTGTAGGCTGCAGCCTGTAGGCTGTGGCTGGAGGAATTTTAACAGATGCACACCATCTATTGGACCGCAAGATGTCTGGCTAAAGTATCCACCATCAGAATTGGACTTTTTAAAAGTTTTGGCGCGCGTAAAAACTGCCCACTGCCTGACTGCCAACAGTGCCAAATGCCAACTGCACAGTACACTACACTCGACAGTCTACTACAGTGAGTACAATTGTTTTATTATATATATAAAACATTTTTTTTCAAATGTTCAATTTGAAGGCTATGAAATATTTTATATATATTTACTTCATAGTTTATAATTACATATGTAGCCCTATAAAAAATACATAGAGCTATGCATACTACATAGCCCTCTTGTATTATTCAGAGGGCTATGCATACTATTCATAAATACTAGGTGCTTTTTGTCTCACTGCTACGTATCACACATAAGTCCGACCAACTTAAGAACAGGTAGACAGTGATCGTATGGGCCAATAGATGTATGCAGCACACACTATTAACAGAAGGGACTTTTAGCTAGTGTTCTATCATAGCCTTCTAAATGAAACAAGGCTATGGTTCTATAGGATTTTTGGAGTGAGGTTGGTGAATATTATGAGCTCACTGAGTACGACAGGCATATATTTGTCATAGAGTTTCAAATAGATGCAAAGTGTTATGGATGCACAGTGTGCCTGTCTACAAATAGTGTCAAGGAGCAAACATGATCAACAGGTGGCAATATCTGAAATTCTTACAAGTTCATTGTAGATGGTGAACTTACTTTAATCAGTTTGGCAATATTTAAACTTGCCGATATAGGCAGCGCTTGACACAAAGGTGAGATGCAAATGTCGTCGAGGATTCTAAGTATAAAATACCAGAGACAGACAAAAGGCCAGCATGTCTAATACTTTTACACTAAATAGAGCACAAGATCCGCCCCACGATTTACC